ACTAAGAGTTGCTCATGCAACTAGCTTAAGTGCTAAACTCACTGCCAAGTAGTACCTACACCAGCTTATCCCAGTAAGATACTAATGATAGCTTTGTGTTTGGTAAAAATTGCCATATTTAGAAGCAACCTGGTTGATCCACAGGCCTCAGAGAACTCTACAAAATTTAAGTCCAATATTTTCAGTTAAACTTTTTTTTTTTCCCAAAAAAAGATTTTTTCCCCTAAAGTTCACATTGGCTTTTCTCAACTATTTCTACAAAGCTTGCACAAAACTTGAATTATATCCTCCATTAATGTGCAGAAGGCTTTTGCATGCCTATTTCTTTCCAAGAACAAGTAAACACTAATTTTGTTGTAGGCAAGAGATCCTTTCACAAAATGAAGTGAAAGTAAAAGCAACCTTCCATTTCATATAATCAAAATACTAGAGGAATAATCATTTGAATTAAAGTATGGTTTGGTATTAAAAAAAAATAATTATACAGCTTCTTTTATATTAGGACACCAGAGAAGCCCATGAAAGAATAGAAATTCCACTGTCACCTTACAGAGAAACACCAAGCAAAGAGTGGAGCTCAAACCCCCTTTTTCACAGCACAGCAAGAGTTCTGCCTCAAGTTCAGAGCTGAGAATGGGCACAGAGCCTTGAAGAAATCCTGTTTGACAGATACAGCACCACACAAGAAGAGGAAATGTGCAACCAACCTGTAACTCACATTTCCCACAGCTTATGATGTAAATGATTAATTGGCAATGGAAAATCAGTAATGTAAGCAATGAAAAAAAGAATTCTGGTCACCATCTTCACCTCCCTAACAACACATATGCATAAACAATCCATTAAAAAAATTTAAGCTATTATTTCTAATATTATATTCTCCTCACAGAGGAAACTGACATCTTAAGATTGTAAAATTCCTTAAACAATAAAAAAAAAAGAAGAACATTCCTTGTGTAACTGCAGATGAAGAGTAATTATCACAGTGCAATGAAGTCTCTGTTCTTACCTTTGCACTTGCTAAAAACCCCAGGGATATGGCCACTCTGGCTCTCAGGTCTGGTCTGTCTTTAGGCCACACATAAGACAACATTGCTCTGATAATTTTTTTGGCATCTATCTCTTTCAGCTATTGGAAAGAACAAATAAAGGCATCACATTACAAAGAGACTCCCCGGGATGCAAAATAACAGTATAAATAAGAATTTTATACATTTCTGCATTTTATTTGATAGGCAACAGATGCTTCACAATGTTTTGAGATTAGCATTTCATGTTACAATTTAAAGTTGTAAGTTTTTAGGTTTCTATCCATGACACACTGTTGGATGAATTGTTCTTAATTCACATGTCCTCAAGAGTGCAAGTACTGCTAGCTGTAAATGGAAGACAGAGAAAGCCACAAGTCACCACAGCTGAAATACTTCACAGAACAAACAAACTGACCCTTCTTTTTTATCTTCTCAAGATTCCTGCACAAAATGCAAGGGCTTGGTATTTCTTCTTAGGAAGCTGCTTTAACATAGCATAGAAACAACAGGAGGGAAAATGCAAAACAAATATAAGAAATTAATAAAGTAACAAGGCAAGAAGAAGGTCTGAAAGGTCTACAATAAGCTTCAGTAGTTTGGAGAACATTCAGTGAGTCACAACAGCATACAGTACTTTAACTATGTATATTTATATATATTTCATTATTATAGCAACTCCATCCAATGTCTGAAGCTGAACATATATGCTGATATATAAACTGAACTGAATACAAACTTCAAACTATCTAGTTGCACTACTACAAATTTAAGCATTTCCAACAATTGCTTCCACAGTTATTCAGTTATCTCACAGCCTGTGCAGAGAAGTGAGATATCCTCTTATTCTGCCCTTGTCTTTCAGGGCATGTTTCCAGGAACCCACAGGGTAGTCCTCCCATGGGTGCCCAAAGGAATTATGACTACCAGCAGGAAAAACACCTGGAGGCTGAGTTAAGGCCACTAATGTCACTGTAATCAGGCTGTGTGAGGCAGGAGGTGTACATGGCCACACGAGGGTTTAACAGGTTCTCCCTCTCCCCACTTCAGATGTTGCTCTAAGCAAGACCACAACTCAGTTTACAAGTCTACCTGAGAAACATTAGGGGGGGTTGGGTTTGGGGGGATGGTGTTTTGGGATTTTTTTTCCTCTCTTTTTGTTTTGGTGGTTGCATTTATGTACTTTTACAGAAATGCAGTTTATTTTAGATGGACAGATGTCTGTATCCCTTATGACACACATTCCACTAAACTCCCAAGCTCAGTATATTACCTGAAACTTAAACCATGCAACCCAATGGAGAACAACAGCACATGCATAAGACAGCACCAGTATCAACAGCTCCATTTTCTGCCTTCACTGCCCTGAGGTTAACTCCAGAGACAAGAAGGTTATCGAATGCTGAAGGGAGGGCAGCAAGCAGCAGCTAATCTCTCCCTTTCAGGCAGTATTTTGTAGTCAGGAGGAGGGAGGGAAACAAAAAGTTAGTCCACACCTTTTCAAAATGACTTTTCCTTACAGTAGCAAGGAGGAGGTTTATAACATATTGTAATGTTGCCCTCACTAGACTGTGTAGTTGTGAATGCTCCCTCCTTGACTTTGAGGATGAAAAAATCAGACTAGAAATTCTCTCTTAAGGTCCAGTGTCAATAAGCAAGAAAGCTCTGGTAAAAGGTAAGATTGCTGAGGCAGCCAGGGAAGCCAGTCCTATAGAGGTGAGCTTTTAAAAGCACTGGAACATTCATCTCAGTGTTTCTAGTCATAACTTCAAAGAAAACCAAAGAGAAACTGCATTTTGTCAACAACTGCAAAAGTATTGGAGCATTACACAGGATAAACACATTTCAAAAGACTTCTTAAAAATAGATACAAGGGAAATTTGAATGTGAAGAGGGGATGTAAAACTGCTTCTGTTGTGTCCTACCCACTCAGAGGGTGGAGGTATCTGCTGCAGCATACACATGAACCTTTCCATTTGAGCCAAGATATGCACAGATAGCAGTTCAAACATCTGGAAAATATCTTTGATCATCACTTACAGGTTAAAAGGAAGCTTAAAAAAAAAAGGTATCAGATTAATAAAAAAGATACTCGTGCAGCCAAAGCAATTCTAATTATATGTTGCTATTGGCTAGTCAGACCTTGCAGAGAAAAAGCCATTAAAAAGAACAAAATACTCTGTCTGCAAACAAGGAATCTATTTCCGTTCCTTCATGGCTCTGAACAGTGACAGAAGTAAATGCATTCAGAAAAAAAAATGTCAGAAGGCAGCCAGTCATTTGCCAAGGGCCTTGCAAAGGAACAAGAAGAAATATCAAAGGAGATGCAAAATGCACACATATTACATCAAAGTTTACCATGAAATAGATGTTACTGGTGTGCAGAAACATGAGCTGAGAATAGTTTAAATATGCAAGTGGCAACATTAAGAATTTAAATGAGCAATCTGTTTAATGGACTCGGGCCCTTTCTCTGTGGTGTATAAAAAGGTTAAGAGATGCATTTATTTTACCTTTTAACTGACAGTAATGTTTCATATTTTCTTCCAAGGCCTATTTTTACAGGAATGGAAGGAAAAGCATTAGAAATCTAATGTAGCAGGGAGCAAAGCCTTTTCTTCTTTTTGAATGCAGTGTGTTCTTAAAACACACTACCAAATACTGAAGACTATTTGCAAAGGAATGAGCATTGAACATCCTCCCCTGCCCTCCCTGCCCCATTCCATCCAGGTGCTGAACTTTTCAAAATACCTAAGGAGGGGATAAAAGACAGTCCTCACTCCTCCAGGACTGCAGAGCACTGCAAAGCACTCACTGGGCTGGCCCTGTGACTTTAGGGACAAAGCCTGTGCCAGGAGGATTGGCTATGAGAAGCAAGATGGGAGAAAATGCCAGTCTGCTTGCATTTAAGCTGTCACTGCTGAGGAAGGGAAAAAAGCCCCAGTTCTGGCTCGCTGTGTACTGACTGCCTCACAAAGCTGTATCCCCCTCTGGACTGTACCAGCACAAGCTCCCTGAGGAGGTTATCCTCCCAGCCACCAACAGCTTGCTTCCTCCCCTGCTTCTTTGCTCCCTCCTCTCTTTGCAGCATCAATTGTACAGTCCCAGCCTGTTTCTCCCAACACCTCTGGAGCTCGTGAAAGACCCTGACAAGCTGATTTAGTTTGTCAAAGTAGAATTTGACAGAACAAACTTCAGTGTCTGTTGCAGGGTTTTGTCTCTGCAAGGACAGTCAGATAAACCTACAAACTCAGCAGCACAACAGAGAGCACGGCTGAGAACAGAACTCCCTTTTTTTGTTATAGCAGGAGGCATTTGGATTTGTTTCAGTCCATGACATGCAGCTTGCTGGGAGAGAAGCAGAGGTAGCTCTTTGGGGAGGGAGGGGGATGTTCCCACCATTTGGACACGTTATTTTTCAGCTAGATCACTTCACACTGGCTCAGTCTCTGACCACACAGTGACTTATGTAGCACAACACCAAGAGGAGGGAGGAAGGAGGATTCTTTTTTCAGTTGGCTCATCTGCTTAAACAAATGTCAAAGTAGGGTCTGAATTCTCCTTCCAGACTTTGGGACAAAAGTACTTGGCCTTCTGTCTTTGTAATACCCATCCCTTCACAGAAGGCAAGCAATGACTACCAAACTAAACAGCAACTGAGTGAAACAGTGGTAGGGGAAGGCCAATTATCAGGGGCCCATCATGACTATCAGTCTTTCCATAATATACACCTGCTTGGCAACAAGTCAGGCACCACAGTTTTCATTACTAGTCTGTGTACAAAAGACTAACACAAAAAAAAAAACAAACCCCAAAGTTGTAAAATACTCTTTTCAGTCTCAATATATAGAAAAAATAGAAAATTTTGTAAAAAAAAAACCCCAGATGTGTAAGCTTCTGTCCTAGTTACTTGTGAGATGAAGGGAACATGCCCTTCATACTCTGTTTATCCTTAGTATTGAGTTCTGTATCCACTGAAGCAGATCTAAAAGGGGCAATTAAAAACACTGGTCCCAAAGGTAGTTTCAAGAATGAACAGGCTGGTTTGTCAAAAAAAAAATCTGGAAGACAGAAAGGTGTAAGACAGACAAGATGTGTATCACCTGCAGTTCTAAAAGCATCCTCCTAGGGGAAGAACAAATTCCCATGTGGCAAATTGGGTGCCAGTACTTTTCTGCACTGAACACAAGTGTGTGTAACACACACAAGTGCAAGAACTGTGCTTGCAACATCAGCTTGTAAGACAGACAAGATGTGTATCACCTGCAGTTCTCCTAAAAGCATAATCCTAGGGGAAGAACAAATTCTCATGTGGTAAATTGGGTGCCAGTACTTTCCTGCACTGAACACAAGTGTGTGTACACACACAAGTGCAAGAACTGTGCTTGCAACATCAGCTTTCCTTTCCTTCATTTTTGCTGAGAACCTCTTGGCTTTTGCACCCAGTGTTGCTCTTTGCTCTCCTCTTCACACATTTCACCTCACCTGCAGCCAGTTCTTGCAGCTTTCTCCTGGATAATCCTTAACAGCTCATAGTGGTTTAGTTTGACAAGAGCCTTAACTGACAAGGTCCTATATTAACTACATTATAGCTCCATTTATTGGAATAAAAAAAGAAAGTCAGTGGGTTGGATTCTACAGGTATAGCCACAAGCCACAGGCAATTGGAGAATGCCACTAGAATATTTACACTGCCTAGAAGGCTAAAAAATATCAGCTGGCATCAAAATTTCTGGCTAAGGTATTTCTAGTGAGTTTTAATATTAAAGAACATCCACCAGTCCTTAACATTACTAGTGTTTTGGTAAACAGAACCTCCCATGTCCTTTCTGATCAGAGAAAACCCTAGAACTGAAATCCTTGAATGATGCCAAACTGCAGAGCTTTGAAAAGCAGCAACTCCAAATAAAACCCATGATGATTAAACATGTAATACCTATAATGACTACATGGATTTGTCCAGGAAGTTGCCATCACATGTGAAGGGGTTCAGCTGAATAATGAATTTCAGGATTTGTGCATTTCAGGAAACAGCAGTTTAAAGAAAGAACAAACAGCCCCTTGTGGTGTTTTTGAAGATAGGTCAGTTGTGAAGCTGAGCCTGTTAAATGGATTTGCAACTGAATCATATGAGGGTGAGTTCATTCTATATATATAAAAAAAAAATCTCTTCCACAGAGTTGTGAAAAAAGAAGTTATGACAGCAAACAGGAAACACTCAGCAACCAACATACCCAAGAGAACAGAAATTCTAGGAGGAAAAAACCCTAAGAACAAACAATTAATCCCAACATATGTGTGATCACCAAAGTGACACCACAGGGAGAACACCCTCCTCCCATTGACAGGGGAAATACAATCCCTAATAACTATATTCTGTAACATCAGAGTAAACAAGAAGGACAGCCTGCTAGCTTTAAAGTCTGCTCTGCCTAGGAAACCTCTGAAAGAGCCATACCTGTTGCAAAGATGGTCTTAAAATGAGTCTAAAGTTAATGTTACATGCAGAGCCAGTAGCACTACTGACTGAACAGGTCTGATTATTCTGTTTCCCTGGTGCCTTATGCAGAAAAGATCACAGATGTTTGCTAAAACAAGCTGGCTACACTTTAGGTGTTGAAATTCCCTTATTACCAAAGCATAAATTTTGGAAGCATCTCTCCTGACTTCTGCCTGTAGCAGAAACAGGTTTGGATTCAATGAAGGGACACGTCTCAGATTAAAATTTCAGAGGAAATCACAGGTTTAACTCTTCAGATTCTTTAGAAGTGAGGATGTAGGAAAGACATCACCAGAACAGTTAAGCATGAGCAAAACAGCTGTGAAAGGCCTGGATTCTGCACTGAAATTTCAGTTCATCACCAACACAGTCTTCACTATTTTTAGGAAGATCTCACCCAAGTTTGATCAAGTTATAATCATCACAAGGAATCATTCTGCAGATATACAAAGCATCTCAGAAATAAGCCTGTGCAGGAAGTGAGAAAATGGAAGTTACATAAACTCAAGAGCCTTGCTTTTGCAATTTTAATCTTGCAAAGTTCATATTGTGTTCTTTTAACCAGAAGCTTGCCTCATTTTCTAACCATAACTATTTGGTCTAATAAAAGATGCTGCTTCTCCTTACACACCTATCATAATTATTTTAACATGTGCTTCCTGAATATAAATACAGTCAAAATATAGCAGATGCATTAACATTAACTCCAAGCAAATACACAGGCAGTTTAATTACTTCTCTCCCCTTCTTGCTCCAAGGGTAATTTTACTAATTGATGCCCAAACTTGTATACAAAAGCTGATTTCTACTACCCCAACTGTCAAGTCACAGGGAAACATCAGTCACAGAGAAGAGTAACAAATATTTTTACCCCTTCCTTTGGATCTGTGTGAAGGCCTCCCCCTGCATGGCCATGCCAACACATCCTCTTCTCTGTCAGTCGCCAGCTTGGGAGGATCTGTGTGGAAATGAAAAGCCCAATTTCATTTTGGCTGAACCAAGAGCCTCAGGAAACACAGGTGTAAAAGCCAACAGAAAGAAGAACTACTGATCTGTTTTCCCCCTCTTATTCTCCAACTGTATCAGCTTGCTTTGATAAAAGATATCACCTCTCTCTCTGAAAACCTGAGTAACAATAAGAAGAAAGGGACTATAGCAGGATAGTAAAGAGCATGTTCCAAGCAGCCCAGAGGTAAAGATAACAGAGCCTTAAATATTTGTTAGAAGGACACCTAAAAACTGAGAAGTGGACTAAAGAACACAGAAAAGAAACTGAAGTTTTGCAGGATAACTGTGCTGGGACACATCAGCATCCAAGTGGAAGAGACTTAAGCAACAATACTCCTCCCATGTACATAAAGAGTAACTTTACTTGGGGGCAAAATAAACAAATAAATCCACTTCACACTTCTCTTCCCTTTCAGGAGGAGAATGGCCTCATAGTGCCAGAAGAGGTACAAGTTAAGCAGGTCCAGAGCCCCTGCTGCAATCCATGTACAGGGGCAGAGAGGAAAAGAACCTGCTTTGAAAGAACAAATGCTCCCTTCTCTTTGCAGGTGGCCAAGATTCCCTGTTAAATAAACACAGACAAAATTTCTGGATTTGTTAATGCATGGAGATGTAGTGAAACACATTTACTCGCCACCACGAGGTGTTTCTCCAAGTTTCATTCCAAAGTGCCTGCCACAAACAAGAGACAGGTTAAAGCTTTCAAGAAGAGTCTGCATTTTCTTTAAAAGATTTGACAATTTCCAGGCTCAAGTTACAGAAAAGCTCTTGAGGAATCTCATTTTTGTGCATATGGTTTGGAGACATCAGTGTTTTCCAAATCAAAAATTTCACTTTTCATATTTTAAAGAAAAACATTCTAAAACACAATGCAAGGAGATTTCAGGCTTTGAATTCCCAATGATTCCCAAAAGATTTCAGCTGCTTAAGTCAGTCCTCTGAGTGGTTATTTTTTTTTATAATAAAAAAAAAACACAAAAAATAAGACATGTACATTTCCTAGCTTCATTCAAAGTGTGTTTCTTAGAAATGTGTCAGAATTACTCCATGAACAGGAAAAATTTTCTCTCATGTTTAGATTAGTGTTAAGGCAAGCAGACCTCACAGGAATAAGAGCCTGGCATCCTGACACTCAGAATGAGGAGAAGAAATTTCCAGCTTCTTGATATGCCACAACCTAAGCACAGTCTTGACAATCTAAAGCCCTACATACTTGAGGAAAACCCACAGCTTTCTGTGCATTGCCATTTTCTGTGCCTGACCAACATGAATCTAAGTATCAAGACACAAACTGTACACTTCTAAGAACCTTTCTTTGCAAGTTACTGTATTATCATTACTTTCTAGACATTCAAAAAGACTTCTTGAGGAAAGGGGCAACAGTCTGAAGCCTCTAAGCAAAGTTATCCCCTTTTCTAGAGGCAGACACACAACTTGCCATTTAACCTGTGGCAGTTCAAAACTGTAAATAGTGAAATTAAAACCAAAAGCAAAACCCAGCAGGGTAAACTGAAAGAAGCTCCAAGGGCTTCAGTTTCCTCTGACCTGCAAGTAGGAAAAAACCCAATTTATACCTACCTCTGAAGCCTCTAATAAGGGCCTTGAATACTCTCCCCTCAGACTGTGCCATGATCTTTGCTTGCAGATTGGTGGAATCTGCAGAATAAAAAGTGGAAAAAAGTGAAAATAGAATCATGCAGAATATGCACTTCACATTCAGAGGATATTCATCTACTTTATGTAAACAAGGGTAACATGAAAACAAGGCAGCTGGCTTTGTTCCTTTAACAACTGACCACAGAAAAGCACAACTGGTGGGGAGCAGCTGTAAAATAAATTACATTCAATCACTAAAAATGCCAAATGACAATGAACCTTTCTCTTCCCTGACTCCCCACTCCCACCAGACTTTGTTCCTTTTGTACCATGAAAGCCCAAAGTTTTCCCTTCCCTCTCATTTTAATTTTCTCCAAGGTTGTTGTCTGACTTCTTTCAACTATCCTTTTGTTCTGTTTTTCATTATGAATTGTGATTCTTATGCTTATAGGTTCTGCCATTCCCAATCCCTCAGCACAGCTCCTGCCGTGCTGGCCTCATCAGAGCCATGGCTCCTGACTGGGAGGCACTGGGACCATCACAAACCAAACCCTGCAGGACTACACGTTTCAGGTAGGCAGGACACAAGATACCCAAAATTCACATATCCACCAATGCATCTTTACTAGATATACTACATATTTTATATATATATTATAACAGCCTGCTAGGCATCTCCTGCAGCAGGCTTCAGGTGTTAGAGCAAACCCAACTCATTTTCCACAGGAGTTTCAAGGGGTAATTTGTTTCCTGGCCTGGCTGGCAGTGCCTCCTCAGTGGCAGAACAGGGACCTCTGTTCTGATCAGCAGTCACAGAATCAAAAAGGTTGGAAAACACCTCTAAGATCATCACGTCCAACCATCAGCCCAACACTGCCATGACTGCTACACCACATCCCAAAGTAGTTCATCCATGCTTTTGGAACCCCTCCAGGAATGTTGACTCCACCACCTCCCTGGGCAGCCTGGGCCAGTGCCTCAACACCCTTTCAAGGAAAGAATTCTTCCTAATATCTAATCTAGCACACCCCTGGTGCAACTTCAGCCCATTTCCTCTCATCTTACCTCTAGTTACCTGGGAGAAAAAAGCAACCCCCACCTCACTCTGACCTCCTTTCAGGGAGCTGTAGAGCCAGAAGGTCTCCCCTCAGCCTCCTCTTCTCCAGACTGAACACCCCCAGGTCCCTCAGCTGCTCCTCACAAGCCATGTTCCCCAGAGCCCTCCCCAGCTTCACTGCCCTTCTCTGGACCTGCTCCAGCCCCTCAATGTCCTCCTTACCCTGTGGTGCCCAAAACTGACCCCAGTGCTCCAGCTGTGGCCTCCCCAGTGCTGAGTATAAAGGGACAACCACTTCCCTGCTCCTGCTGGGCACACTGGTTTTGATCCAGGCCAGGCTGCTGGTGGCCTCCTTGGCCACCTGGGCACACAATCCAACCTGCCCAGATCCCCCTGCAGAGCCTCACAACCCTTGAGCAGTTCTGCTCAATTTGCTGTCATCTGTACACTTACTGAGAGTGCTCCAAGCCCCTCATCCAGATCATGAATAAAGAGATTAAAGAAGATGGGCCATATCATCTTTGATACACACAGTACTAAATCTTTTACTGCCCTGTTGCAGTATGAACCATACACCTTACACTAGATAAAAATCTCAGCAAAGAAATAAACCAGATGAATAATTGAGTCCACCATTAAGTCCACTGGCTGTCATGGTGTTATGAGCAAAATTTGTCCAAATGAGTGGGACTGAAGCTTACTCTGGCACATTCTGCAGACAGACCTGGGACTCCACTTGCCCTCACCACAACCCTTTCCCCAAAAGAGGTAAGACTACAGAAGACACACACAAACCTTGCTGCAACAGATAAAAGTAGCAGGTTTCTGGTTTAGAGGAGCAGAAGCAAGTCCTGCTTACTTCTGAATTTAAGAAACTATGCAGGAAAGTTTAATTCTGACATTTCCTAACTTCTGAGTGTGCCTGTCTCTGCACTGCTACATTCTTCTAATGTATTTTTGGATATGATTCTATACACTCTGAAGGATGAAACAGATGCTGAGCACTGATAGCACATAAAAGTCATACTGCTGAAGTGTCGTGACTGTTGGTAGTAGTTTAAACACTAAGTGCAAACAAACAACAGGGATTAAATGCACCTCCACAAGGTCAAATCCACACTTAGCAGCTTCTCTCTGGGGTACATTATGGGCTGTTCCAGATGTACTGCACTCATCTAATGGGGATGGGTTTTTTTAATGTAACTGTAACAGGAAAGATAACTGAAGGTAGGATTCAAGTACCCGGGCAGTACTTGAATTAGCATTGCTAATTTTGCTGAGTGGGCAAGGTAAGAAAAGGAAAGATGAATGGGAAAGGGGAGAGAAAAATGAGAGAAAAAGTGAAAATATTCTGTTATAAATACAAACTAAACTTTCAGCAAAATCAACAACATAAACTTAACCAGAGCTACATTTAAGAGTGGCCAACGTGCTCCATATGTGCACCCAGACCAAACAAAAGCAAGAAGGTTAACAAAAAGATACCTTAAGGAGCTTCCCCTGCAACAACTTGCTAATAAACCCTCATATTTGGCTTGTTTTGGTAAAACATGTCTTAATGGCAGGAGGGAAAACCCACCCAGCATGACAGCAAGCACCCCAATGTACACCCAGCACCCCCACACCTAAGTGTTGCTCACCCTGTGCCCCCCATGTTCCTCAGATGGCCTTCAGATCAAATTCCTGTGTTTCCCCCTGTTCTACTTCACTAGGTACCCTTCCTCACAACAGCTTTCAGTGCTATTAGATGCCCACTTTAGTTCCCAGGCATCAAGCTGCTCAACCACACCAAAGTCTAGAAGAGAATTTAGCCATGCACAGGGACACGTGAAGTGACATCTGGACACTTACCACAAGTGTAAATTCACAGAACAGGCTTCAGGTTAAAAAAAAAAGGGGAAGGGTGGCAAAAATATAAATAAGTATAATGAAAATACCTGGAACTTCTCTTAAAACTACTTCCAGAGCAAGGGTTATTATGAAATCATGCAGAACAACACACTCATCATGCCATGTGGCAGCTGGAAGGGTAAGATAATGCAAGGGGGGAAAAAGTAAAAGTCTTTTCTCTGTTTTACTGTTACAATAATTTACAAAGCCTTGCTTTCTACAACTGCCACAGCCCTCTGAAAGAAGCCCCTCGGTGTCTTTCTTGACTTACACAGAGTCCTAGTGAAATAATTATCCTCAGTTAAAGGCTGCTGGACCTTTTCAGTCAAATGCTATTCTCTTTTCAGGTTTAGATGGACTAGAATTTGCTGTTGCTTTTATTCTGCATGCAGGCAAACTGTTGTACAACCTACCCCTGAGCTGCCTAGAAAAATTCCACATTCAAAATCATAATTTCAAAATATTTAAGACACCTATTTTTCCCCTCCATAAATTTAGCTGTTTTCTTGTCCAAGATACAAACGTTACGTCTTATTACTCAGAAAAGTAAGACTCTAATCAAAACTCCTGAAAAATTTAAGTGTGAGGGAAGAAAGACAAGAATCTGTGATGCAACAGCAGTCAAACAACTCTGCTATGTTTAAATCTCATTGTGCCAATTGCCACAGAAAATATATATATTGTATTATAATACAATTAAGCTTACAATTAAGCTTAATAAGAAGCTTACAACTGACATGAAACAACAAAGACAGGGGGATCAACGACTGCATGGTTGTGAGTAGAGTAGAAGGATGACAGGCAAGTGTTAGAAATCATCTTTTTGAAAAAGAATGGCTAGTCACTACTTTCAGAGTCATATTTCACCAGAGCTTTTCCCTTCCATTAATCACATTTTCTTTCACAAGTCAAGCCCTGGACCTACTGTTACCCCTCCAAGCTGTAAGAGGCACAACTCTTGACTGACAGAGCTATGCTGGCACAAACCTGGGTAAAAAATACCCAAAATTTTAGATAGGCAACTATCTGGATTTCACAGGTGGCTGGGTCCTGCCAGTCTCCCATCACATGGGAGATTAAGAGGCTGGATCATGGCATTTTTTTCACATTTACAGCCCTTGATTATATTCAACAAGCTAATGCAAAATCTAACTCATATTTTAATACCTAGAATCCAGCAATAAAGGTAATATAAGAGCCTTCCCACATGTCAAAGTACAGACACTAAGATATGTCATCACCCAGCAGCCTGGAGGCTTTCACAAGAACACGTGCTATAGAACACTACTTTTATTAAACTTTATTCCCAGCTGACTGAAGCCTGCAGCTTAGAACCATGTCAAACAAGCTGAAGTTATTTTATATGCAAAACCAGGTGTGTTTCTTCCATTTTTTTTTAATATGTAGAAAAGCTTCCAGAATAATCCCATTAAAAATACTTGCAGTGCTCATTAGTGTACAAACATAGTTGCAGTTATTTATTTTGCTAAAATAAGATGCACATATTTGCTTGCCAGCAGGCTTTTCTTAAATGCTGAATTACCTAATTTATAAAAATCAACAGCTAATCACCCTGAAATACAACCTGAAGTGCCTAGCCAACTTCTGACATTCACTTCTGCTGATGTAGGCCAAATATTTCTTGAACTAGCTGAAAAATTAGAAGAAAAGAGGAAACTGAAATTACAGGACAGTGCATTTTCCTCTGACAGCAAATTTAACCACATGTTTTTAAAAAAAATAATTAAAAAAAATCATATAAACTAGTCCCAAAATTTTAAAGGCCATTATAACCAGAAACTCCAGAACACTAATTTTTGAGCCTCCTCCTACATAATTACCAAATAAATCTGCACAACACACTTAGATAAAATGTGTGGTATTGATGTCATAATATGGCATAAAGTTTTCATTTAACAAAATGTAATATTCTGCTCGTGCTTTTAATGGATTTTAGTTTTCATCCAAATAGGACTTAAGTAAGATAAAAATGAATCCCCAAAGTGTAAAAAATTAAATGCATAATTAACCACTTTCTAACAGAAATGCCTAGAAACTAAAAGGCCAAAGAGATGAATATATATACACATTACAGACACAGACTTAG